AGAAGGGGGGGGGGGGGGACTCACTTCTCTTCCAAGGTTGCGATGTCAGTGACCATCGTCGTTCAATTTTGATTGAACTCTGCCCCCCTGGATTCTTCTTCTTCTTCTTCTTTTCCTAAAACAATTACTTTAGAAAATTGTGCGATAAAAGGCAAACCTTTGAGCAAAACGGAGAGAATTCGCCCTCGCTTTATTTGCAGCCACATCCGCCGACTCGCCAAGAGGCTTTAGGTACAACTTTCTTCGTAATTATTTTTCCAATTTGTAAATATAAAATTATCCTATATTATCTTTAATAAGCAAAATATAAATAAAAAATAGTTGAATTCTAGAAAAAGATATACGAAGGCTTGATACGTTGAATATGCTGAAATAATCAACGCAATTTTCACTCAAAATCAAAATCAGTTTGTTGCAGTAAAATCAAACGCATCACAACCTCTCTGAATGTTAATTCATGAATTTTACTGATTCTAACACACAATTCGTGTGAATCCCCACTCTCATGTTCCAGTACTCATTCAGATTATTATGGAGAACTCCCCTCAAAACAATCTTATTCACCAGAAATTAATACGAGTAGCAATCTTAGTACTCTAAGAATAATTTGATTTGATTCTATCTCTTTATTCAAAGTTGTTAACCAAGTTTTATCTTTAAAATCAACTTCAGAATCTGCTCATTTTTTATTTATATCAACAAACTTAACCACCTGCTTAACCACCTGCCATAACAACCTTAACATATGCTTTTACAAATCGTGACACTAACAAATCAAATTGTATTAATTTCATGAAAACAAATGTTGTTTCTTTTATAATAAAAAGTCAATCTCGGACTAATGCTTTTCTAATTTAATTTATGCATTAAGTTTTTCCAATGATAATTTCACATTCCTATTTATTCCATTCTAATTATTATTGTTTTGAATAATGGTGAGTTCCTAACGTCATGACATTCTGTGTCGGTTGTTAGTCATTAACGCATATTTTATTTTAAAAAAATGAAACTAATATTGACTTTGGGAGGGGAAGTTTGGTTCCTCACACGTTTTGTTAGATTGGACCTAATCCAAAAATTTTATTTGTTGATTAGTTTATATAAGGAGTTCGGGAGTCGTGAATTTACAAAAAAAAAAGAACGAAATTCCATATCCAAACCAGATTTGGAAAGAATTACAGTAAAGGGTGGGACTGGTAAAATACCTGAGCTTACCTCAATAACATTCTAATAGGGATAGTGATCGATGTTTCGATTCGGTTCTTCATAAATAAACTGTAGCAAACCAAAAAATGTGATATTTTTTTATCATTAATTTTAAAAAAAACTACATTTTTCGAAACCAAATCGAATTGAATTAAAAAAAAATTGAAAAATCAAATATTTTTTAAATAAGATTAACCGATTGTTACCTATTTTTATAAAATCAAAAATACCGAACCAAGCCATTCCAGATCAGAATCCAAACTAAATACCGAAATGTTCACCCCTAAATTCTACCATGAAACCAACTCGACCTAATTCCAATGTAAAACTCATATCACCTACCCAAGAAATGATCAGACCCCGACTTGAATTTGCAATAAAAAAAAAATACAGACTATACAGTCAGATTCAGCTCGAATTTCGGATTTGGTTGGATTAAACCAGACGGGTTTCAGACCAGCCTAATGTGAAAAAAATAATCTGATTCAAAAAATGAGAAAAAACCCTAATCCAACAAGTCGATCGGATCCACCAGGTTTGACCCAAGCCTGAGTCTTATAAGACCGGGCTTCGGACTCGGTTTTGTAGACCTAACAAAAGTTGGACCAACCCGAGCTCAAATCCAAAACACTCAGACTGAATGCAAACTCGAAATCAGACCGTTTGACACTCCTACCGACACAAATACCGTCCCTTCAATTGGATCAAGAAATCTACTTTTGCAAGTGAATAGAGTTCAGAAACCATGGCATGCATTATCTCAGCGAAACAAAATCAAGACAGGCTTCAGTACTTGACAGAAATATTAAGTTTGATTAGAACAAAAAAAAAAACTCATTTCTTCGTAAGACAACCTACGATGAAAACACCAGAAGTCACAATCACTGCTGTCGGGTTTCGACCTTCTTCTTCTGCCACAGCCTGTCGATGGCGCTGTCAGCATCACCCTGCGGAATTTACACAATTAAATATCAATCAAGAGTGTTTCAAAAAGCAAGAAACATCAACAATGGTCTACTAGGGATTACCGTAATGCCGCTAAACTAATACAACATTAACCCATCTCGAAGATATACCCGAGGGTTCAAAGCAAAACATCAACTTCAAACTATATCTTAAAGATATGCCCGATGATTTGAATCAAGGGCATAACTTGCGATCGAATGTTAACACGAAAGCAAGAAATATTAATAATGGTCAACTAGTGATTACTGTAATGCTGCTAAACTAATACAATACAAACCATCTCAAAGATATACCCGAGGATTCAACTCAAAACATCAGCTTCAAACTATATGTTGAAGATATAACCAAGGATTTGAATCAAGGACATAACTTGTGTTCGGAAGTTAACTTGAAAACAGAACAAGTGAGAACCATTCGCTGGAGTTAGGAGACAAAGGGGCAAACCTGAGCACGGACGAAACCGCAGAGAGCAAAAGTGGTGAACTGGCCAGTGTAGATGCCATCGGCATCGAGATGACCAATGTTGATTTGGACAGAGGCATGGTCCTTCGAGGTGATCAACCTGTTCGTTGCAGAGCTGCAACAGACAAAAACACCAGAGACTTGTTGCTAATGGAAAACGGAGAGATATCGCAAATTCAATAGACACAGAGAAGCTAGAAACATTGTAATACCATTTCCTCGGGATGTAAAGCTCGGTGATCTGACCCTCTTCGTTCTGCATCTTGAGAGATTATGGATTCTAGCTCCGAAAGACTACAAAATTCATGAGAAATAAATTTCTAAGAACGAATACGATGCATCAATGTCAATTCCAACATATTTATGCCATAGCAATTCAGATCCTGATGCTCGCACTATCAAATAGTAAGAGGGAATCTGCAATCTAAACACGTACGCATAACAAAATCAAATTTATGCTCGCGAGTGCTTAATTTAACACAATACGATTCGGATTGCAAGTGAAATGAAGATGAAAACGTAGAAAAAACAAGCGAAATATGGAACCGTTTGATTTCTTCCAAAAAAGAGAACACCATCAAAACCACGACCTAAGTTCGCATTACATTAGTTGAAATCAACAAAAAAAAAAGGACAGAAAATAAAAAAGTGAACCCTAAAAAGAATCCAAGCCCTAGCAGAGAAAGCTCGTTGAGAAACAACGATGAGGAGAAATACCTGAAGCGATTCTGTCGTCAACAAGCGGCGGGGAGTGAGATGAGACAGGCTAGGGTTTTCAGCGGATCTATTTTCACTTATATACAGAGGAATCCCCTAATTGCAGAGGATGGTTTTGCGTTACTGAGCTTCAATAAATGGGCCTGGCCCAAGGCCCATTTAAATCATTTCATATGTTTGCTATATGTTGTAAATTTTGGTCCGGGTCCATACCGGAAAAATAGCGGTTTCGAATCTAAATATTTTGTCCCGAAAATTTTCTGACCTTTTGGTTCGGGTTCGGGTTCGGGTTTTGGGTTGGTTCGAAAGTTTAAATTTTTTTTTCAAAAAAAATAATAAAAATATTAAAAATAAAAAATAAAAGAACAAATTTAGCGGTTAATCCATCTGTGTGAGACCAATCAAAACTCGAATTTTTGAAACTTATCAATATAACCTCCAAAAACTCAAGCTATAGATATATTTACAAAACTTTTTTTTATATCCCGATTGTTGTCCAAACATAAAATAATTTATCCAAATAAAACAAGAAAAATATTTTATAATACTCGGAAATGAAGTATATAACTTTTTATACAATTTACACATTGTAAATGATGAATAATCAGTTAACAAAAAAAATAAATGATGAATAATCGTGTCGAACCAAGATGAACTGGACCGGTAATATATTTTAGTATATGAGAAATATATTAATATTTTTCCCAATGCATGAACTAGTCCAAAATCTAATTGAGATGGTAATTTTTTAAAAAAAAAAAAAGCAACGGTGGCACGTGCCGAAACCGCGTGAAAAGAGCCTGAAATTCGTCAGCTTTCTGTGCCACCTGTCTCATCAACTCTCCAGCCTGTCCTCGTTCTCCTCATTTTCAAAACATTAAAAAAAAACATTCATTTTTCTCTTTAAAAAGTAAAGAAAATTCCCCCCAAAAAATACCAAACCTTATCAATTATTGAATGTTTACGAAACAAAATTTAATTTTTTTTTAAATAAATTTTTAAAAATTAAGTCGAAAATAAATTCAAATTTTTTTAATATAAATCATTTTTAATTTGAATACTGATATAATATATCGATATTCTATATGATAATCCAATATTGTGACCATCATCAGTATATTATAATATTAGTATGATATTTCATCGATAGATTTAAAAATGAGAATTGTTATAAATTTTAGATTTATTTATAATTTAAAAATTAAGTTGAGGTTTTATTTATTAAAAAATAAAATTTAGATTTTTTTTTGTGAAAATTGATAAGTTCAGATATTTTTGTTTAGAAATTTTCTTAAAAAGTAACAAATAAAAAAAAATACACGAAATCGACCTTCCAAATACTATTACTGAATTTCTGAAAAAGCGAACCAATTGAAAGGTTAACCTAACGATCGTTTATTCTAATCGCATAGTTTATTCTGACTATGATATTAATCTGGACCTCGATATATCTTATTATCAAAAAAAAACTTTATGGAAACGTTGAATCTATTTATTTTCTTGTTATTAGGGTATATTTGTGCGTCGATTTTCAAAATGAAAACAATGTACCGTGATATCGTAACAATCTGTAGGAAGCATTATAGACAAAACCAAATAGTTCTAAATATTGATACAAATGAAAGTTTATTAGAAATATTTAACTATTATATATATCATAAGATCATCTAAACTTGGATAAATTAAAGAGCTTTTCAAACGGTAAATATTAGAAAAAAAAAAAACAAAGAAATTGACCCAAAGGACCAGAAACATCCTAGGATACTAACAATTAGAATATTTTTAGAGCAAGTTGGAATTTTTTTCAAATGCATAGAACATGATCAAAATTATTGGATTTATTTAAAATTAAGAAATTAATAATGCAGAAGAAAAAAAAAAGAAAGCAAATGCGTTGCCTATAAAAAGACCTCACAGACCACAACATACATTAACTAAAGTCCATAATTTTTTATAAAAAAAAATGAAGATAGTTGTTGTTTCTGCTCCGTTTCTACTCTCACTTGTCCTCACTCTCTCTCTTGTGGAGTTTGCCTCCGCCACTTACTCAGGTATATATATATACACGTGTGTACATATATAGTCGATCGATGAATGGTAATATAGATATATGCGTGTGTATGTATAGGCGGTGTATATGCGCCGTCGCCAGGGGGAGGAGGAGAGGTGGAGAGATGGTGCGAAGACAGGTGCGAAGTGAGGTGCAGAGTGGCGGGGATGCACGACAGGTGTCTGAACTACTGCGGCATCTGCTGCAGAGACTGCAAGTGCGTTCCTTCCGGCACCTCGGGGAACAAACACGAATGCGCGTGCTACAGGGACAAGCTCAGCAGCAAGGGCACCCCCAAATGCCCTTGATCTCCAACATTCTCATTTTTATTTTTATTATTACATCTTGTTCTAGCTGGATTTGATGTTCTGAGGGATAGAATCATCTGCTCTAGTGATTCTATACGGTACTGTTTACGTATACGATCGGTGTCAACTATAGCGTATATATGAACAGTAACGGTAGATTTTATCATGAATATATTTTATTTATAACAACCATCAATATTTTGTAAAATTTAATTTTCTAAATATTTGGAAAACTATTTTAATAAAAATAAATCAATTAAAAATTAAAACTCCATTTTTTTAAGAATTACGAATAATATAAAAAAACTAAAAACTAAAATCTAAAACTCAAAATAAAAATTACCACCATTTATAACTTAAATTTCATCTATTTTTGTATACTTAATAATAATGATCACTTTTATGATCTGTAAAATAAAAGCTTTACGTTGATGTGACAGAGAGCTTTGGATTTGACGTAAAAGAAATCCAACAACACAACCAAAGCGTATATAATATATAGATTTGGATGAAAATATAATAACTTGACAATTTGTAAGACTTTTCTCAAATTGATAGCTCGTGGTAATATAATTAACAATGATGATTCGTTCCATTGATCTAAATATAAATAGGATTAGTATCTGATGATTCGTCCCACTCTAAATATGTGAATATATTTGAAATATTTAGTCCCATCTAAGTTTTTTTATTATTAAAAAATAGTTAGTAAGAATAGAGAGGTCCAAATGGATTACTTTACATTGTACTTACGAGTTACGAGTTAGATCGAATGTTTTTTTTTTTTTATTTATATACATGACAATATTTTGTTCCACGTAAATAGATTTCATGTTTTGTTAATACTTTCTTGCTTTTTTTTATTGGGAAAAGACAAAAGTGTACAGAACTGGAACGATAATATATAACACCTGGTGTAAAATAATTATTATATTAATGGACCCATTAAATTAAAAGGTAGGGAGCAGATGGAAACGCAGTTAATGGACTTGGGAAAGTCGGTGGGTTTAATTTGGTCAAAAATCCAATGACATCTTTTACGAGGTTTGGAATAAATGTATGAAACGTAAGCATTGAATGCCATAATATATACATTTTTTAATATGATTTAGAATTATATACATAATAATTAATTTAGAACACTAGATTTAGTTTCTTCATGATTAAAATTAACTAGTGGTACTGTGTTTCTTTCTGTTACATGCTTTCTGGCCATCTCGCTAAGTTGCAAGATTCGGACAGCGTCCGACAAAAACCGTTCCGACTCAAGAACCAGAGCTCTCAAGAAAAGGGTAATCCGTGTATCCAACGACAGGATCCGACGTATAGAACGTCGATCTATCGTACTCATTCAACGTAGCGTCGAGCTCAAACCGCCTCGGCAGGTCAGGGTTCGCCAAGAATGGTCTCCCGTACGCCACAAGATCGGCCCGTCCCTCGCCAATGGCCGCGTTCCCATCTTCCCTCGCGTATCCTCCCGCCACGATGAACGTTCCCTGAAAGGCTTTCCTCATCGGAATCAACGTCTCGACGCATGTCGAGATATCTCCCACAGTTTTCATCCTCGGTTCCACCATGTGACAGTAGAGAATGTTGTATCTGTTCAGCGACTCCGCCATGTGAATCCCTAATACTTCAGGGTTCGAGTCGGCTGCCTCCTTGTAGTTCGAGAAGGGCGAGAGCCTTATCCCGACTCTTCCGGGGCCTATCTCGTTTGCTACGGCTTCCACTACTTCCACAGCGAATCTACAGCGGTTTTGTAACGATCCGCCGTACTCGTCCGTTCTATCATTCACTTGATCTTTTAGAAATTGGTCGATCAGGTAACCGTGCGCTCCGTGAATCTCGACCCCGTCGAAACCTGCAATGAATATGGACGCCGTGATTTCTTGGGTTCTTGGGCAAGCGGGTACCCGAGAATTCGGGTGAACCCATTAGATAGATACTCGAATTTCCGCTTACCCGCTTCCATAGCGTTTCTTGCCGCGAGCCTGAATTCATTAACGACGCTTGGGATCTCGTCGGTTCTTAGCCTTCTTGGAGGCGAGAACTCGTCTACGTCGATGCCATTAGAGCGGAGCTGAGGTGTCAATGGCTTGTCCGTGCTCGATATCGGCGCTTGCCCGTTTGGCTGAAACCCTAATTAAATGCGGAGAAACCATCCAAGTATAAAGCATTTGTCGAGCTATATGAATACTTCATTTGATTTATTATTTTGAGAAAATTCTATAAAAATACCTCAATTTATAAACTGCTAAATAAATTACACCTAATTTGATCCATTTTTATTGAACAAATACTAATTTGGTATCTGTTTATCATAAATTTGGTATGAATTGAATTATTTGTCTAGCAATTTAAAAATTGAGATATTTATATAACAAACTTAGCAATTTGGGTATGTATTATGAAAATACATATTTATATTCATTAAACAACATATTTTGCGATTGCATTTTTAATAAACCTCCAATATTTTTCCAAATCTCTACTAGAGATATCACCCTTTTATGCGAATACTCTGAGATATTTGGAGGCAAACCTCGGCTGGAGACTCGGCCGGTGTGCCAAATCTGACAGAAGAAGACACCACCCTTCGCGTGGACAGCCTCCACGATCGGCTTCCATCCCTCCACCTGCTCCTTCGTCCATATTCCGGGCACGTCTTTGTATCTTTACACATACACACACACGAAATGTTCACAGAGAAGTAAAGTGTATGTATAGTTTCACAAATTACAGTGTTCTCAGATCAAAACCCAGAAAGAAAGTTTTCATCTTTCCACTCGAAATCCGCCGTAACAAAAAACTCAGATCAAATCCGTTTATAGTTATACTTATACACACACATATACATACACAAAATGCTCAGAGAGAAGGTGTATATATAGTTTTACAGTGCTCTCAAGATCAAAACCCAGAAAGAAAATTTTCATCTTTCCACTCGAAATCCGCCGTAACGAAAAAAAAAATCTGACCAGAATCGCTTATATATAGTTATTATGCAGATACGTTACCCTATCGCTGTATGGGAAATTGTGGCGCCTTCAGAGATGAGAAACCCTCCCTTCGTCGTTCTCTGAGAGTAATACAAGACAGCGTGCGGCTGAGGAACGTTGCCGTACGATCTCTGTCTCGTCAATGGCGCCAAAACGACCCTTCACCACAGCAAGAACGCGTGTGCCCGTATATATAACATAACAAGACGAGATCGAGCAAGAACAGGAACCGTTGTCCGAAGTAGTAGAAGTAAGTACCTGTGAGAGAGTTTGAAGCTTCCCATCTGATACGGAGTGAGGAGGGGAATCGAAGAACTCTGTTTGGTTGCCGAGAAAATCTCGTTTTCCATCTCTACGAAGCGGGAAACTGATTTTGCGGAGAAAACTTGGAAGATTCCGAGGAGGAGTGGATCGGAGGGGGATTGAGAATATATGGAGGGTGAGTGACGTGGTGATTACGTCACTCATTGAGTGGCTTTTCTCAATACCCACCACAAATTTTCTTCTTGTTCATAACGTAGATGATGATGAGATGACGATTGATATAAGCCCACGTTACACGTCACTTTCCTTTTGGAGTCAATTCCATTACTGTTTCATTTTTTATTTGATTTGTATCAAATGCATGCAATTATTTGAGATAAAATGTCTAGTGGTTGCATGTTTAGTGTTTTCTTTTTCATGCATTCTTTGTTTAACCAATGTTTCTCTCTCTCTATTGGTTAAAATATTATTGGGGTAGATATAAAAAATGTTTGTGTATAATTGATGTGTTTTCGTGTATTTATTTGTTAAACTAAATTTTGGTCTATTTTTTTAGTTTGTTGTATTTTTACGAAAATTTCTTTTTATTTATGTCTTTATTACATCATTTATTCAAAAACTTGGATATATTTAATCTCAAAACTTTTCTTTTTTGATAACTAAGAGGTTAACTGTGTTTTCGGTCCATTTAATCTCCCTAAACTTTTTCTTCACCAGTAGAATCGAACTCAAAATTTTGAGAATAACTTTGTCGCATCTCAACCGCTGTACTACCAACTATTGGATTTTAATCACAAAACCTGGAATAGATGCTTCATCATATTCACCTTTTACTTTTAATAAGATGTTATGGATTCCAATCTTACCTTGAAAATAAAGCAATGAGGTCGAACTCTTTACCATGTCATGTGTTGATCTAGGTATGAATGTGACGATTCATTATTAAAAATCGTTTAGGACATTTCGTAGACTATCCAAAAAAAAAATGGATATATTTGATCTCGAATATTAGTAGTTCAAATTTTGAAATTTGAAATTCTAATCCGAATTTTGGATATCTATATATACTAAATATTTTAAATATTCGAAAATGAAAATAAAAATGAAGCAATAAGAACCAAGGGAGTAAAACGGGTCGGTCCGATTTGTTCTGATCTGAGAATATTTTAATCAACCCAACCCAACCCAAATCATCTTAACTCACGAATCAAACGAATCGAGTCGCAAGTTAAATATATAATTTTAAAAAATATTTAAAATATAATAAAAAAAATTAAAATTTTAAACAAAATAAAACTAAATATCTAATAAAATTCAGTTTTTATATAAAAATAATTAAAAATATATACAAATATTAAAAAAAATTAAAAAAATTGTCTTGTGAATCAGTCTGTGGGTTCGCCGAACTGGTTCGCCACGAATTCAACTTGTGATGAACTGGCTCGTTTGGTTCGTTTTTTTCTTAACTCAAATATTTTGAATCCAACTCGAAAAATATGGATCAGTTCATAAACCAATCCGCGAGTCAGAATCGTTTTATATCCCTAATAAAAACAAGTAGACTATCCAAAGAACGAGACATGATTTACATTTACAGGCATTAGACTGAGACGTAGGTGTGGACAAGATATATATATATATATATATAATTTTTATTGAATTGAGATATATTTTGTAGTTTGGTTAGATACTTCCTTAAAAAAAAACAAACTCAAGGCTGAACTTGACAAACATGTATCTCGAATGTAAAATCTCCTATCGGTTACACATGTACATCATAATTCTAATTTCCTCTACTTTTTATAATGTTTGAATATATTGTTGGAATTTTTTGGTAAAATATTGGTCAATAAACGTGATTCAACACATGCTTTTAAAATTCAAATTTTATAACGTTAGGCTATTATTATAGCATTAATGGGGTCTATTTAATGTGGGGTCTAAACATAATTTTATCAACGCCTAGGGGGTAAATTACACAGATATACCAAAACTGTCAGGGATACACCCAACAAAACATAACACATTATATTTTTTTTTGAAAAGACTATAATACCCTTAATGAAATCGTGTAATTGTAATTGCAACGTCGCAATTGATTCTAAATACAGTTGTAATTGATTCTAAATGAAATGACAAAAAATACATCTTATTAGTTATAAGATTTTTAGTTGTTATATGGTCATAAATACTTTTTTTAATCGTATATTAGTTATATAACAGTTGTAATAAAGTCGTTAAAAATATAAAAAAAGGTTATTTCGGACTTTTTAAGTGAAAAAATGGTATAAAATTGAAATAAAAAATTTACTGTTCATTTTGGGTGTATCGATGAAATTCATGCGACACATTTGGTATATTTGTGTGAATTACCCCGCTTAGGAACTGACATGCATATATTAAAAAGTATTTTTCTATGAAAATATTAGATAGTTAAATTTATAAATATTTTTCACTCCATTTGTTCATAAAAATAACAAATTAGAGAACAAAAAAAATGAATTTAAGTTTGTATAATTTAAGGTAGGAGAACATGCAAATGTGTTTTTATCATGAATTCAAAATTAAATACGGGACAATATATTCACCTATACTTCTCCGATTTTGTATGTAGATATAATTGGGTTAAAAGTTTGGTGGATTTTCGGATAAAAACTAAAAACAAAATAAACTAAAATTAGGGTGTCAATTTAGATTTGAGGTCCATATCTCGATTCGTACTCATCCGAAACGAAAAATGTCGATTTTCGGATCTAAATTTTTCGACATATAGAAAATGGTTTTTAGAATAGGTTGGATCAGATTAGGGTCAGTCATTCGATATATTTTTTTTTCAAAAAAATTACTTAAAAAACAAAAAACTATAATTACAAAATAATTTAACGGGGCGAACCGTATCCTAAACCCGAAATTTATAGGAACAGGATTCAAATTTGGTTATAGAAATCTGAAAAACAATCGGACCGATCTATCCGAATCCGAATCTAAAACCCTCGAGCCAAATGTAGATTCGGCGGGATTAGACCGCACCGACCCGATTCACCCCCTAACCAAAATCGCAAGTGTCTTCTTTCTTATAAGGCCCATCTAATTCAAATATAAATTTAACCAGTAAAACGGCGTC